GTCAGTTCACACAAATAGCATACGCCTTCATAGACAGCACAGTGTTACGTCACAGAGCGCAGTGTGATGGGTGTAACCGGGGTAATGGCAGCGCGGTGTGACTGGTGTGACGTCACGCAGCTAACGCAGAGGGCAGTGCGCAGTCTCTCCTTTCCTCACTCTACACCTACGACTGCACGGCCACTAGTATCTCCAATTTCATTGTCAAGTTTGCGGACCATACAACAATGGTAGGTCTTATCACCAAAAGTTAATCCCGGATGTGACTGGTGTGACAGCAGCGCGGTTTGACCGGTGTAATGTCATGCACCCTTCGCAGACGGTAGCTTGGTGTTACGTCAGGGGTGGATACTGAACTCTCATGTACTCACTCTACACCTACGACTGCACGGCCACTAATATCTCCTAATTCATTGTGAAGTTTGCGGATGACACAACAGAGTTTGGTGACGGTTACAAGGAGGATCTCAGTGCCTTTAAACTTTATTGCTAAGAGAACCATCTCACCCTCAATATCACAAAAACAGAAGAGATGATCGTGGACTTCTAGAGGTGTTGTAAAGCACATACCCCGATGTGCTGTGGAAAGAGAGAACAGCTTCCGTTTCCTAGCTGTACATCTGGCAGAGGATCTGACATGGTCAGTTCACACGAACAACATACCCCTTCATAGACAGTGCAGTTTCACGGGAGTGACAAACCGCGCTACCTGTGACACTGCAGTAACCGCGAAACCATGCTGCCCACGAAACTGTGCTGCCCGTAAAACCATGCTGCCCATGAAACCACGCTACCCGTGAAAACGCGCTCATACATCATACAGCATCAAAGGGAGTAGGGCCACTGTCAGTCATCTTTAAGAAAAAAGATTCTATTTGTCATGTCGATGGGAAGCTTCCCAGCCTGGAAGTTATCCAAACTTTGGAGACTTCACTAGATCTACCTGAGACCTCTGGGGTTATGCTACACGTAAAAGAGAGAGCTTATACTACAGTGAAAGCCCCAAACTGAGCAGGAATGAGACTTCCAAGAGTGAGGAAAACCCCACCGGCTGATGTGACTGTCCAACACCTACTTGAAAAAGGTGCTACCTTTGCTATGGGAACTAAGACAGGAAGGTAGCAACTGTTTGCCCCTCCTGTCATATGCCAACATGCCTCGAGCGAAGCACAAGTCAAATTTGTATGTTGTATCTGCTGGTGGTGTGTTTATCTGTAGTTGCTTTTAAATGACACTCTCAGGCCGAGCTTAGGATCTGGACTTTTTCACAGTGGTTAGTCCAAACCACACAGCAACATATTTATGACTAACCCCATGTTGTGGATGGCTTCATCTCAGAGGTGTCATCTGATAGCATTTGTCTCTTCCTGCTGGGGACTCTCAACAAATTAACCCTCTTACTGCATTTTCCCTATTCTCATGTGTTCATTAGTCAAACCACAGCTTTGTAGTTAGGCTTATTTCACAAACCCTCCAAGCACTGTTCATATCCAGAGTTAGCGTTGCCAAAAAATGTTAAATCCATAATGAGACGCATATTTTTATAAAAACGAACAATTCCGAGATTAAAATCTTTTTCTAATTGCATTTATTGAATAATAAAAACTGAACACGGTGTTTTTTTCTGCTATGTGACTGCAGCCTCTTTTTTGTTTTGCCCAGTTTTCTCTTTCGGCTCATTTGATTTCTCTACGTTTTAATCACAGGCCACCCCAGCCCCCAGCCACTCCATCCTCTGCTGTCTGAAAATGATGTACTTGATTTCACATTCAACGTAATTAGCAACAATGAGGTCACTGGGCCACAAGTGCCGTGATTTACGTGATTTCCCCCGTCCGTTCATTATTTGGCAGCAATTAAGGCAGCAATTAAGGCGTCTATTAAGGACGAAGAGCTCGTGAGGTATTTCTGGCATAATGTGTGTAATCATACATAATGTGCTTTGTTGCATACAACAGGTAGGTAGACAAAGGAGGTAAAATGGGCCAGACCTGACGCTGCCCTCTAGCCTCTCATGGTGGCACTGAAGCTGTTTGAGAGCTCCACAGCAGAGGAAATGGAAACACGCATCAACCTCCATTGTCTTCCTGCTCTGTGTGCCACTCTTGCCCCATGTCACCTACTCTGGTCTGGGGTTACAGCCCATGAATGAAGGGTGAATCCTGGGAGGGTCTGCTCTCCTGCTCCCTGCAGTGGATCAACTCTGGAGCTGACTCAGTGCTTCTGGGAGCTGCCAGGAGCTGCAAAGAGAGATGGATGAGCTGCTGGGAATTGGCTGGTGTTGTGTCTCCGGGTGATTGATGAGTTAACACAGTGCCTCTTGCTCCATGGGTCAAACCGACACATCGGGACCACAGGACCACCGTACTGTCCCAAGGAAGCTTTATGTTGGAAGAAATGAGGAGCAGACGTTCTGTACACTGAGCAGATGTTGGAAAGCTGGTTGTGTGGGAGAGAAGACTTCATCACAGAGTCCTCAGCTTCTCCTGGAGGTGTTTCACAGCAGCTCAATAATCAAGACAGAGGGGGTTTAAATATCTCCAGAGAGCCCACTCCCTGTGTGGCATTATGTGTGTTTTCAAATGCTTCAGTCATTGTTCTCAGTCCCAAGGCCTGTGGAGTTAAAAGCATTTCAACTCTTTCAACTGATCGATCTCAATCTGATAGATCTGAACTTAAATAAGCCGCCTTTCTGCAATCAATACTGTTAAATGTGACTTATTTTCTTTTTCTTGCAGAGACCCATTTATGTCTCTTTTGTCAGCAAGGCTATCCTGTGGGACAGAGGAGTCTGCCACTACACTGTGAGTGCCCAATTTTACACTTCGTAGCCACAAAGAACCTGAACAGCAGGCTTTGCCATGAAGATTTTGGTATTCTTACAGCCTGTTGTTTTTGTGAGATTGTACAAGTGATCCTTCTAGCTCTTGTGAGACTAGATTAAGGGTGTTTCAACCCCTGAATTGTTTAATCCATTTAAATCAAACTTCATTTCCCCTCCTTGGAGCAGTTTGTTTATGCAGATGTGAACATAGTAATTGCACTTGTTTTCAACATGATCTGACCTCGATATGATCATAGTACCAGGTGTACATTACAAGTTTGAGCTAAGAAACTTCCTGTATGCTTTGTATGGAACAATGGATGCACAAAAGTCTGTACAGGCTAGCAACTAGCCAGGAAACGAACATAAAGTCTCCATTCTCCAACAGTTAGGAAGACAGCATCTTCTTTCTGTTTTTAATTTTGTTGTTACATATCTGAGCGGACTAGACATTGTGACGTGGTTTGTACTGATACATTTTGGTTCACTTGGATTTTTCTCTGTGTGAAAAGAATCCAAATCATGGTGAAAAGCTGCAAGTTTACAAACTCATCAACTGATTTGGACCAGAACAAATTAACTACAGGTGCCCTAAAAGATATCAGATAATGTTAAAAGGTTAGGTTTTGCCATGGCTCACAGCAGAATCTAATGTGTCATAGCATAACAGGAAGTATATTTCATGTCTGCAGCACGTATTTTGCTCAGGCATAGCAGGGATGCACCATCGTGATGCACCATGGTTTTTCTCTGCCTAATGGGGCGTCCAGACGGTGGTGAGGTGGCAGCCAGAGTCCTCAGAAAATCAGTGACATTCAGGAACTTCCAGTGAAATAGATGCTAGGACTCACAAGGGTCCCGAGTTAAAGATTTCTTAACTTCAAAGCAAAGGTAGTGAATAGATTTCAAAGGGTTCTTGGCAACCAGAGTCAGCAATGTCTGCTTGCAACCAACTGTCAGCACCAAAGTGATGGCTCACTCAAATCAAGTCATGGTACAGTATTCAATGTTTGTACAAAGACACGAATCGTGACATCTGAGACAGATCAGATGAAAAGTGTTGCTCAGGGACAAAAAAATATTGCAAGTTAATGCACAGGATCCAGAATCTATACTTTGGTACAGACACCAAAGGCCATTAATGAGTATGCCTCTGACATAAGGGGTATTCGACATGGAGCATGGAGGATCATCCAGCAAATAAATGTTAAAGTTTTAGCTCTGTTTTCACTGAGAGAACAGGGCAATTTTAATTTGTCAAATTCCTGAAAGCTTTTCATAATTTGAACCGTTGCTTTTCCCCTAACAAGCAACATAAAAGACACACACAGACACACACATATTCTTCTTCTACTTCATCTTCTTTCTCTTCAACACTCACGATTCCCCACCTCTCCCCTCTGCTGAAAAGCGTCCGGGAGTGGATGTGCCGCAATTAACAGTGGAGTTGCCATGGGGACAGCACAGTTGTGTGGGCTGGCTTCCTGTCTCAGCCTCTGGTTAAACAAACAAGTAAAGTCGTCGGACAAAGGGGCCCGCTGGTCCTTACAGCCTCATTTACATCCTCAACCGCTTTCACTGCTTCTGCATTCACAGAGTTCATCAGGCCTGGCATCACCCACTGCCATTCTCCAATCTCCTGCGCCCGCTCTGGTTATATCTAATAAATCAAGAGGGCATTGTGATGGTAACAACTGCCCGCTGTCATACAGGGGGACAACTTTTACAACAAGGGTAGCTAAGCAGAGAGACAGAGAGGCTGTTGACCCAGGCATTGATGCTCCTCTACTCTCACCCAGGATACGAGATGCAGGTCGGGCTGCACAGGTGCCCAAACATGGAGGCAGAGCACTCATATATAACAGGGTTTTTACAAAAAAATGTGGTATGTTTGTTTGTTTTTTAGTTTAGGAGCAATATTGTTAGAAAGAATTTACCATATTTAGTTCATCTGAAACTTTATTAGTTCAACAACACCTGCTTCCAAATAATTTCACCAAAATGTCGGAGTTGTGTCAGCACATGGCCATAAAGGAAGTAGGAGTCACTTACTAAACTTTGAGGCACATGCTGTTAATTATTTTTTCCCCAAACTCTGTAAAGTCCATTATTGTAATATTAAAGGTTGTAAAAATAGACAGATAAAAGAAGATTATGAGGAAATACTACTACTACTACTATTAATGTTCATATCACCGTTCATCATTAATTACTCTGTGTTAAGTCATTTTGGTGACAGTACATCAGAGGAAGGAAAAACAAATTAATAAATCCCTGATGTAAAAAATGGTTCCAAAACTTTTGTTCACTCATACCTGACCTTCAAGGGCCTTAGAGGACTCTGAGCACAAACTGTGCGGCAGTATCGTCACATCCTTGCTGTGCTGAGTTGTTTTGGGATCTGTGCGTTTTTGGGGTAAAAGCTGCCGGACCCTCTGGCGCTGCGTGGGCCCGTAAATCGGGGTCATTGTCTCACCATCGAAAGTAGAAAGTTGCTCTGAATGCTAAGCTGCATCTGAGTCTGGCTTCTGACACGAGCTGATAATCAGATTTACTCCCCAGAATCCGCCGGACTCCACAATGTGCCCCACTGTCGTCGTCCCTCACTTTGCCTCTCGCCGGCCCCCTTGCCAGAGTCCCGACCCTCTCCCCTCCTCCCCCACAGCAAAGCTAATTACACCCCGCAGAAACACAAATCTCCATGATTTAAAAAGTCACTCTTTTTCAGGGGTTTAACCTTGTTAGGGCCTAAGCCTGGCTTTCTTGTGCTTCAGCTCTGTGAAGAATTCTCTGTTCCTGCAGACGCTGGGACATAGACACACTTCTGTCTTTGCTCGTAGTCGTCCGCCTGTAAGAGGGTTCACTCAGAGGCAGCATAATTAAGTGTGTGCGTGGATGTGTGTCTGCACTGCTTATGTATGCTTGTATGGTGTGTACATATGTGTGTGTGCGTGTGTGTGTTTAGAGGTGGGGGGGGGGGGGGGTGAAGGAGCACACGCAAGGCTGTCCTCTGCAGGCCATCTGGGACTCTGACTAACTAATAGACTTCCTACATTCATCTAGAAGCGCTACTTGTACATCTCAATCATGTAGCTGTTGACCGCAAACAGGCCCGTAATGACATTAGCCAGCTCTGGCTGTGTGAGGACAGCGTGTGGGTTGCCTGACGCCAGGAGGTTAGCCTGTTTCCTGGGGGCCTGTAGGGCCCCTGATGGAGCCCACACATGTGTTATGGGCATCTGCAAAAACTACAGTCCTACCTACTGTCACTGCTGGAAATGCTTTCCTCTGTGACATGGGACAGGGAACCTATAAACCAAATATTAAATGCCATAAATCATATAATGCTGTCCACAAGTCTTGAGTCATTATTCATTTCTTTATATTTTGGAAAATGGGAAACAGGTACAGAGTTGAACTATTCTAACAAGCTTGAAAGTCAATATTTGGTATGACCACCTTTATTTTTCAACACAGCCTGAACTATCTTAGGCAGTTTTCTTGGAATTTCTTTAGGTAGTCCTCAGGAATAGTTCTCAAGCTTCTTGAAGGACACTCAGAGCTCTTTAGATGATCCCACACTGCTTCAGTAACATTGAGGTTGAGGCTCTGGGGAGGCCAATCCATGCCTGATACTGCTCCAATTCTTCTATCCAGGTATGCCTTCACTGCATACCGTGTGTTTTGGCTCACTGTCATGCTGAATAATGAAGCTTTTGCCATTAGGATGTTTTTTTCCAGATCGTTTTGTGCGTTGGATGGATCCTTGATGTGATTTTGGGTTAATGTTGCCTCAAACCATGACTGAGACTCCACCATGTTTCACAGATGCTCATCCCATCATTCAAGTTCATTCAGCTGACCCACAGTGAAACCTAACTAACTGACTAACCAGTAATGATAGTTAGCATTATCACATAACTTAGCACTCCATTAACACATTTACCTTGGTGAAAATGTCAACAAACCAGTGGGTGTCATTATAAGGATATCAGGAAGTTGTAGAAAGTCATATAAATCCAGTCCATAGATAACTAAAGAAGTAGAGGACTGAGTATTTAGACTTCCTGCATTGGTGTGATGAGGTAGGATTTAAATAGAAGTGTTTTTGAATATTTGGCTGCATTAATATAGTTTTTGAGTGGACTGCGGTGGTGTAGAATTACATGCCCCGACCTGTCCCACAGAAGGTCACAAGCCTGATGACACCAGCCCTACAAAGAAAGCCCTCCGCAGCCTTTTGAGGGCCTGAGTTTCAGGTATTAAGGAGGCCAAAAGGGTGGAAAAGCAGTGTGGAGGAGAGCAGCCCCCATCGCCACCTCTTGTCCTGCCATTTCTACCTCACTTCGCCTTCTTTACATCACAAGAATGTAAATCTTTAAAGCCTGTGCATCTGAGAGAAAGGGATTTAAAAAGCTGATCCTCCCTGTGTGAGTCACAGACAGTGCCCCCACCTTTCACCCTCTTTCTCTTTCTGTGTGAGCTATTGTCTTCAGACAGATGTTGGATCTGTACATTTACTATTTTTATTCTATAATAAAAGAGTAAGGAGCTGCACTTTGTTGCAGAAGGAGCTGAAATCCAAGTCAAATAAAAGCCCTGCGTCCACGGGCCATTTATTACGACTGTTTGCTCTCTGAGGGCCGGAGAGCGACTGAATGACTCACTGGCACCAAGGCTGTATGCTGGGCTTGGATTTCTGTGGTTGGCGTGCCGTCCCTCCTTCAATATTGACCGGCTTTTATCTCCCGTGTCTCCCTAACAGTTTACTCTAGAGTTTTATCACCCTCGCCATAATTTTCTGTCTCCTCTCTGTCATGAAGGAGCCGGGTAAAGAGGAGGAAGCAGGAGTTGCTTTGTGTGCTGATCTGTTTTGTCAACACAAGGGGGCAGTGGTGGTACCGTGCATCATTTGAATCTCCCCATCTCCATATACAGCACACCCTACAGCAGGTTTTCTCTTCCAGGCTTTTATTTTGTAACAGCTTAAAGTTTGTATACTGATACATTTGCTGCTAGTTTAGTGACAAATAATAGTTGTTGTACCAAATAAAGTTGAAGGAAAATATTATTTTATTTATTAAATCAGAATTTTTGTGCATATTTTTTATAAATTGGTATCTTATTAGATTATTAATATACAAATATATGTTTTTAATAAATATAATAATTTATGTTTTTCAATGAGGTTATATATTTAAATATGATGGGTATTTTCTTTTAAAGTTATGTTTAATATTTTTGAAATGTAATAAATTTTTTGGTCTATTATCTTTTCTTTTTTAATCTTTTAATTTTATTTATTATTTCCTCAAAATTATTTTTTAATCATGTTATTTATGCTTTTACACAATGTTTAGATATTAGTTCATTTTATTTGAATTACTATATTTTTTATTTTCCAACTTTAAGGAGTTTTTAAATTTGTTATGTCGTTACTATGTGCTTTTAAATATCCGCCTTTATTTAGTTAATTCGATTTGATTTTAATTTGATCAAATAATATAACATTTTTTGTTTTAGTCATTTTTTAAAAATCTGTATTGTGCTTTTTATTGTGTTGAGTGCTTAATGTTTTAAGCATTTTCCCCTCTTTTTTATTATTTATGTTGTTTACATATGTTATTTTTTAGTTTATTTTCATTTTTTATTATATTTTATTACTTTTATAATTTTTATTCAATAGGAAGTATTTACATCATTCAATATACTTTAAAAAATTACAGTTATTTTACATTGTTGTTGTATCTTTTTGCTTTATTTTTTATTTGTTGGTTCTCCATTTACCTCATCTTCAAAATTCACTTACAGATAGAGTTGATTTTTCACTTTATTTATTCAGTTTTTACATTTATTTTAAAAATAAGAGCATTTCAAATGTTTTTTGTTTGTTTGTTTGTTTGTTTTGTTTTGTTTCCTCCTGCAGGCCCACGGTCGTCCAGCTTTCTGCACCTCTCTGTGTCCACGCTTCCTGTCTCACATGAAGGCTCGTCCTAAAGACTTCCGCCCTCCCTATTACCGGAGCTCCAAGTTCACACAGCAGCGTCCTCCTTCTCACGGAAAGGTCCAGAACACACACACTTCCACAGCCCCAAAGAGCCAAATGCTTCAGGGTGAGGAGTTATTAATGAAACATCTGGACCTTTCACTGCTGACTCCTTTATCTCCACAGGCCTGCTCAGTAGCAAAAGCTAGCAGCCATCAAGCTTGTCGTTAGCTGTGTGTGTAGTTGTGTTTGCTTAACTACAAATCTATCCTCTCTAGCGAGGACGTGCCCACAGCGCCGCCCTTCTGGTGGTCTCCTGGAGTGAAAAGCCTGGTGCTGGGAGACCTACCGCTCCTTTCAGAGCCCAGCCTCTGATGTGAAGGCATTTCTCCCACCACACACCTCAGCAGGGCACCGCTCACAGAATGCTCAGCTGAATGTGTGTGTACAGCAGAGGAGGGGGGCATTTCTTAGGATCGGGGTCTAATACTAATTATTCTGCCATATGGTGGTCGGCTCCCTCACAATCGTCCTTAACCCTCCTCTCTGAAGAAACGTGCTGCGCCCAATGCCATGGCTTTGCACTCTGACACATGTCATTCATATGCACATCAACACACCCACGTACACACCAGTTCATGTGCACGCGTGTGTGTGTGTGTAACAGATGGTAATGGCAGGGCATTGTAAGAGGAGGCAGTGCAGAAATGTGCTTTCCAGCGCGTTCTCTTTATCCCCCTGTGCTGACTCCTCTTGGAGACAGACCCCCAGGAAACAAGAGCAGATTATCTGACACCCTCCACCCCTGCAGCGCCACCACCACCACTACCACTACTACACACACACACCCTCACAGCAGTCAACAAAAAAATAGGAGGAGTGAGAGGAAATGGGTGGTGTTGTATGGATTTGAAGTTTGTGGAAGAGAATCTTGGAGCTATGAAAGGAAATGTGGAAAGAAGAGCCGGAGAGAGGGGATAATAGCTGTGGCAGGAAAAGAAAGGAAGTGGGTTCAGGTTTGGACTGAATGTGGGCATTAAAACACATTTTGTGGATATTAAGTGTCACAGTGAAACATAGTAATTTATCCAATGCCACAAAGTTCACAAAACCGCCTCATTTAGTTTATTTTGTATATCGAATGTCTTTAAATGATCTTGTTTGTTGGTTAAAACAAGTGAATCTTGTTTTTTGTGTTTTCTGTGATTTACTGTGTTCGTTTTCATCCTCAGGTTGACTCCCCATTAACAGTTTTACTTACACAGGTTCATTTTACTTCTTTAGCCCCTATGACAAGAGAGAATTTATGTTTACTTCCAGTCTTGTGTATTCACTATGTCTCTGTACTTAAAAATGAAGATTTCAAACATAACATCCATATTCGGTGCTTAAGGGCTTAACGGGGGATCGGGGATCAAACCTCTACGCCGCTCACATCAGAGATCAAAGTTCGGCTCATATATGTCACAGATTTTCACACATCACTTGCATTTTAATGGACTGGGTGACGTTTTGTGATATTAGTGTTACTCTGTTCAGAGCTGCTGTTCAGCTAAGATAGTAACACGGAAATTTACTGACTGTCTAGAGCTTTATTTTTTTATTATGATATTAATTAAAGAAAGGTTTGGTTTAGTTAAAGGTCAACTGTTAATACTTCTTTTTAATCCTTTTTTGGGCGATGTAGACCAGACTAATTATTAAGCTAAATGAAAAGGCAGACACATTTATTGTTTCTTTATGGAGTTTAGTTGCCAGATTATGGAAAATGAAGGATTAAAGATGGACCTACCTCTGTTCGAAAGAATCAGAACTTTTCAAAACGTATAACTATTTGTCTTGTAAATTCTGTGTCTGAATTTACGTTCTCGCCTTTTTTTTGTTGTTAGCAGCTGCTTGAGAGCTGACAGGTCAGTGAAGTTTAGTCAAGGTATTTCTAATATGTGCAATTGATTATAGCATTTGTGTTGTTGAGATATTTGTATATGTGTAAACATATGTTTGATTGTATTGTATGATTATTGAAGATATGTAGAAAATCAAGCCAGTTGTTTTTTAGAGGGGTTTGTGTGTGATAAGATAAGATAAGATAAGATAACCCTTTGTTAATCCCACAAGTGGGAAATTTGGTTGGTCATAGCAGAAAGTGGACAGTACAAAGTTGAAAGCAGCAAAAATTAAGAAATACAATAGAATAAAACAAAATAGAATGAAATAAAATAGTATGTCAAAATTGCACATGTTGCATCAGAAAAAGAAAAAAAAATCCAATATATTGGCCCTCCGGATCAGCCTGTTCGGTCTCTTTCTGTCCCCAGCAGAGATGCTGCTGCCCCAGCAGACCACAACGTAAAAGATCGCTGACGCCACCACAGAGTCATAGAAGCTCTTCAGGAGTGGGCTCATGTCTCTTTGGTTGAACCAAACTGACATGACGACATGTTCCTGTTTTGTCTGAGCCAATGTGCTGCTGAGACAAAATATATTTCGAGCTGAAATGCCTTCAGCAACAGGACGATTCATCCTGTTACTCACCATCCGTTTTGCTGTGAGCCGATCTCTTCATTTGTAGCATTTTGTAACGTGTTAGTAATTCTCTATCACCATTATCAATTATAAGTTAATTATCTTTAGGAATGGCTGGGTTTGTGTTTCAAGTTAAACTCTATGCTTATCTCATACTTGAGAAGAAAGTAAAGAAAACTCTGAAAGCTATAAACTTATCACACAAACATCAAAAGTCAAAGATTACAACCAAAATAAAAAAAATAAATTAAAAAAACAGTCTAAAGCCGCTACTCTACCACATCAAAAGGAGCTAGTTGGGGTGGTTTGTGCATATGGTTCCCAAATAAGCGAAAGAAGGGCGATGGATGGGAAAAATACATAATAGTAAATTGTAATACACCAAGGACCACGACAGGATGGTGTGAGATTTTAAACTGTGAAAGCAGTAGGGGTGTACTCACTAATTCCACCTGACAGATATGTTTTTTTAATTTACTTATTTAAATTGTGTGTCATTTATTTGAGTCTGTCACCTTTAAGCGCTGCTTAGTGTTTCTTATTGATATACTGTACACATATACTGCACACAGCTGTACATGCAGTTGCAGGTTTGATTCATTTGTCTTCTTTTTTCTGTGCATCTTTCTTCATCATACTTTGAAAAAGAAACATTCAAACTTTTAATTGGTTCCAGAAAGTTGGTATTTTTGTTTATCTTTAAGTAATCTTATGTACATTTAAGTTTTATTCTTTTTTTTAATCTTTCATATCTGATTCATATGCCACTTTTTGAACCGACCCTTCTCTCTTTCATTTTATATATATCTTTAATGTTATTGTAAAAGCAGAGTGACGTCTGAATCTCTCAGTTCTTACAGAAACAAACAGAGCTTGTGATGTTTTCCACACACTTGTTGCCACAAACAGCTTGCAGGATGCCTCCAGTGTATACTGTTGTAAGTGTTTAGATAAAAGGTCCCCTGCCCTCAGGTCTGATGCTTGTTGTGAATATGGAGTTGGGAAACAGGCAGCTGCTCCAGTGGGGTGATTTCTTGCAGCCTTTGTTAGCAGGCCGATCCACTCAGCAGGGAAACAAGTGTCTGCTCCAGGACTGAGGAAAGTGGGAACAAAACTGTCACGAGCAGACTCTGGAAGTTTTAAAAATGAACCACAATGTGTTGACCTTTGAGGAATAGAAGAGTGGATTTATTCCCTTGATTCAGACCCATATTTAAAGTCAGCTCTGTGGTTGATGTAAATCTTTACTGATATTTATTTGTGTTTTTATAGAAGGACACTTCCATCATAGTCCCATCAGAAGAGCGGGCTTCGTGCAGAACGTTGGTCTGATTGCAGGAAGTCGCTCTGCTATAGTCATTCCCTGTGCCCAGCTCCCCGCTGCTCCACCCAGCCTTAATCCAACACCACCCTACAACAACACGCCTCACCCTGACTCCGAAAAACAGGAGAACAACTCAAACCCCACTCCAGCATCTCCTCATCCTCTTCCTCCTGTGAAGGAGAAACAGCTTGAGAGGGAAAAGGTATCCCTACCCGCAGTGCTGGAGCCCGACCTCAGACCTGCTGGATCAACCCTCTCACCACCACCCAGCTCCCTCTCCCGGGGGTCTTTTTCAGATTTAAGCCGTCCACCTTCCAGTTTATTCAGTCGGAGCGCCGACCTCAGCAGTGGCAGGAGCAGCGTCCTCTGTGACAAAACATCTGGTAAAAATCTCAATTAGCCTTTTTCATGACACCTTTAAGACTTGTATGAATTATAACTTATATTTACTAATCAAGTACTTCAGGCTGATTTAAATGATGTGTTCAAACACCCAAACCCCAAATATATTTACTACAAACTGATATAAATGGTATAGTATAGTAGAAATAAACCTGTCAATACTCCAAAAGGTGAGAAATTTTATTTCTCAAGAAGAGATTTAAACATTGAGGGAGTTGTAGCTCAGGTTGCAAAGGTGTTCTTGGGCAATATATTGAACTCCATTTTCCGTTGATGGATTAATATCATCATACCTTATACATGAATTCAGAAACATAGAATATCTAGTGTGAATAAAACAGATTCAGATGCTGTTTTTGCTGAATTTAAACAATTTTTCTTTAACAAATGCAAAAATGTAATAGAAATTGAGTAAAAAATGGGATTTTCTTATGTAATTTTGTTAAAAAGCTCATGAGCTTCATGACATCATCACAGAAAGATATATGCTAATCTTGACGTTCACATTCAAATTTTGGTCAAGTCTACATGTAAGTAAACCAGATCTTAGAAAAGGTTAAAAAAGCAAAAACACAAAAAAACAGAAACGTAACTTTTAAAAACTTTTGATGTTAAAGATTAAATTTCCATCTGGTGTTTCTGACGAGTTTCAGCTGATGAAGAAGGATATTTGCAAGGGTTCATTTCTGTCCCAAAAATATGGCTTTTTCCCCCCTTTTTTGATTAGTGAAACGTGTCAGAATTAACAGGAGAGAAAGTGATGTCATTCTGGAAACTGCGAGCAGCAGTTTAGACTCAAACTTCTGATCAAATTATTTTTTCTTTCAGCAGCAGATTTGATGGTCTCAGCAGATCCAGAAGGCTATGTTTCTTTATCCCCATCCCATCCTTCCCCTCTGATGCAGTTACCCCTAGCTTCTTCCCCTCCAGAGGAATCAGACCATCATCAATCCTTCAAGAAAAACACCACCGCCGACAGCACCGCCACCCCTGTGTTCTACGAGCCACTCTTCGGCCAAACCAAACCCTTCTCACCTCGCCCAATACCAGCCATCCACTGTAATTCAGAGAAACTTCAGAGCAGCAAGACAAGCACAAAAATACCACAAAATATCCACTTAGAAGCATTTGTAGCTCCTGCCGATATCAACACATCCTTGGACTCCGATCAACGTGCCACTCTGGCTTTTCCCTCCACCACTTGGTCCTCCTGCCCAAGTCCACAGAGGACCACTCCCCACTCAGGGTCATTGGCAAAGCTGACCCCTTCTCCTCCAATGTCTCGGCTGGAGTCTCATCGCTGGCCGGTCCTGCCTCCAATCTCCCCTGTCAGAGGTGAGAAATGAGCTTGGCCACATATGTGCCGTTCACAGCCTCCTCCCTGCCCAACACTACACTCCTACCCACTTTCTGAGGGCCCTGATTGTCCTGAACAAGGGTGGACATCCACCCCGAGACAAAGAGATCTGGTCAGACAGAGAAATCAAAGCCTACTTCCACAGTGAGGCCTTCAGATGCTCCTGCCCCCATCAGCACATTGTGAAAGCTCTGCTGTCAGCCTGTTTTTTCTCACCTCCTCCCACCACATAATAAATAACACATAAAGCTTTTCTTTTTCCTCTAAATCAGCAATAGAAAGGAGGGCTTTTGATGAAAAGCTGGTACCGTTTGAGTCGCTGCTCAAAGCCGTGAGGCCCCAACAATAGAAGTCGGGGTGCCTACCTCGTGTGCCGTGCCTCTCAGTCTCAGCCGCCCCCCCCTTCATGGCTTCACTTTTCTCTGGGCTCTGAGAGGGAAACGTGTAGCTGATGGTCATAAATCCACACTGACCACCGCTCGCTGACGGCAGAACACTGAGGAGAAACACCACAATAGAATACCTCTATGGCTTTCCTGTGGCCCGCTAATTTACCGTTCCCAATGAGCATAAAGGACATGCCACTGACATCTGACTTCTCCAGGAACTTTATGAAAGAAAGCAAACAATGTGGAAATTGTGTAGGGATTTTCTCCTTTCTATCAGAGACATCTACTGTTCTCTGTGTGGTGCTGTGCTGCAGGGGGGGCCCATGCTGTATCGGAGCACGCTGTTCTCTTCACGGCAGACACAGAGAGCGTGTCACTGGTTCATTTATTTCCTCGCAGATGGAGGCAATTCAAGTTCAATGCAGCCTCAGTGCGGCTCAGTTTGACGCTTGCAAGATAATTCCAGTTTATTACAACCTTCAGTCTTGTTTGTTCAGGTTTACATGAATTATTATGTTTACTGTTCTTGCCAAAGTCACAAAGGTACATGGCAGTATTTATAAAAGACAGACAAAAACCAACGGACAGGTCCACAGTTGGGCTTGATCAACTTAATTACATCCTATTGATTTAAATGGAAGTGAAGGCAGCAACAGTAATTCAGCCCTCAGTAGGCCAGTTCCCTTCCAGTTCTTTCCCAAATAAAATGACTTTCCCGGGAGCATTTCGTAAGAAATTACAGCTTTTCACTACAGTTCAATTTATCGTTTTTAGAATAAGCTAAACCTTGCTCAACATTCAGTACAGCTATTAAACTGTTTATTACATCTAGATATGATAAGGTGAGAATTATTTTATTTATCTCAAAAGTAAGGATATTCCCGTCCTTCACACACAGCCTATAACAATACAAGAACATAAACTGGATGCACAACTAAAAGGGATTTTTATTTTAATCTGATCTCACAAAACGCAAGATGACATGAGAGGCAAAGCTATCAGGCTTTGAGGTGAAACTGAATGACAAACAATCTGTGAAACATGAAGAGGAGGCCAAAACTTAAATATGTGATCCAGGCAGTTAAAAAGAAGGTAAAACAAAAAAAAAAACCTACTAGAATAAAGCAAAATAAACAGAAAAATGCAAAACTCAACACGTCAAAGTCTGATGTTCTCAGCAGTACAGAGCAAGTACAAGGAGCTGCTCCTTTAAGGAAACACAAAAAGTAAGGAAATTAGTGTTTATTTCTTTTTATTAACAGTGCTTCTTGGCAATAAATCTTACACTGTTGGAAAGCCTGTTTGTTCCTGAAAAGCATGCCCAGTCTTCTCTGCCAATGCCCAACAGCCACCCATTAATGTATTGAATGATTGAAGTCTGAAGAAAGAAAACATACTGGATTCTCCCATATCTTCACTGGTCTGGTACCAAACTCTGTCACCTAAAATTGCCCCCACACAGCACGGCTTATAAGAAACTGACTCCAGAATTTGGGAGTAGAGGGGATGGAATGGCCTGCCTGCAGTCCTGACCTCAACCTCAATGAACACTTGTGGGATCAGCTTGGGAGTGCTGCCATAGTGACCAACACAACCAGATTGCCTCACGTGTGGAAATTGCTGGTTGAAAAATAGCAGTGTGTGACCAAGCTGGTGACCAGCATGAGGAGGAGGTGCCAGGCTGCTGTAGCTGTGTATGGTCCGTCCACATGCTACTGAGGCCTCTGTTTGTCAGATGAATACATTGGTAAATGTCTTCTTTCTTTAGACTTCAATCATCCAATACATTAATGACGCCAAACAAGAGTGAATAGCAGAGTACGCTCTTTGGCATTAGCATAGAGAATTTGGCAAGATTTTCATGGATGTACCTACATACTCAACTCTACTGCTCAACCTACAAATTTAAGAAGAAACAAATGGGCTTGCCAACGGTATAAGATTTATTGCTAAGAAGCATTGTTATGAAATGACACACAGGAAATGTGGTCCAGTGGCATCAGACCCATGGTCTTGCAGTACCCTATACCATACGGGTCATCTACTCAGTCAGGTGAGCTACAGTAGTGGGAAGATGAACAACTTTAATAATTGACCAAAGTGTTTCGGCTTGTGGCCTTCATCAGTTGACCCTGATGAAGGCCACAAGCCGAAACGCGATGAACAATTATTAAAGTTGTTCATCTTCCCTCAAGTGTTTCTGGAGTTCCGGCTTTGTGAATTCTTTCATCCTCTCCATGCACCTTGGAAGCAGGTGAAGTTGTGCCAGAATTTTTTTTTTTTGCTGCTTTTGAGCTACAGTAGTGCCCAGATTCCTTTTTAAACTTATAAAGTAGTCTGAGAAAGGTAAACCTGTAGTTATCTTGGAAAGTCACAGCTTTTCTCTGTACAAGATCCGCACTTTGTGCTACTAAATGCTTCTCCTCTTATAAAAACTTCACCTTGGAGTTCTGTTGAAACCAGAAAATCAGTCAAATTTAAATCAG